GAAGCTCTTGTAGCTTGTGTAAATACTCAACTTTCTTAGGGACAGTTTGACATAATTCCACATTTTCGTCAATAGTTTTCCTCACTAGTTTAGATAAAACATGTCGACTTTTACCTTCTATGTTTTCTTCACCCAATTCTAACTTATTTGCCAGTTTAACAAGCTCATTTACATCCAGGGAAAGTATGTCCTCCTCAATTTTTAAGTCAAGTTTTTCAAAATTCTCTTCGCCCGCCATCTTGGATTTTTAACTTCGATATTTTCGGCTAATTCGCGTTCATTTTAAACGAATAACGTTGTATTTACTGTCCAATATTCTCTCGAAGTATATCGAGATCTCTCCGAAGGCTCCAAATTATGTTACCCGTTCAACTATTACGCGAAATACTACATTTTGTCGGTTTAAATATCGTTTTTATAAAGCTAGTAAAAAGTACAAAATTCAAGCATGCTGCTTCGTCACGTGACTGTCTTTCTACAGCGTACCCAAGACAGAGTGATCTAAATTGGTCACGTCACAGTATGTTAATTTAGATATGAAACTATTTAACTTAATAGTTTTTATTGATTTAAAAAAAGCATTTGATACTGTTGATCACCATATTCTCCTAAAAAAGTTGGAGTTATAGGGAATAAAAGGACTAGCTCTTTCTTTTCTAAAATCCTATCTCACAAATTGTAGCCAAAAGTGCAAAATGAATGGATTTATTTCAGCAGAGCGCCTGATTAAATCTGGTGTACCACAAGGTTCTATTTTAGGACCATTATTATTTCTGTTGTACATCAATGACTTGCCCGAGTGCCTTAATATTACAAGACCTCGACTATTTGCTGATGACACAAATCTCACAGCTTCTGGAGACTCAATGAATGATGCTGTGTTTGTAGTAAATTCCGATTTAGAAAACCTTAGAAATTGGTTAATAGCCAATAAACTCAGCTTGAATGTAGCTAAAACTGAATTCATGTTGATTGGCTCAAAACGAATGAGAATCGGAGTTTCTGTGTCTTAGCGTCATACTGGACAAGCATAGCACTTATGCCAACTGGCGAGCCATCACATACCACCGCTGTTTTCAGGCTAGGATCATAATAGTTCAGCAATGCTTTCTTAAGCGTGAATCCCCCTAGCGTGAATCCCCCTAAAGAAGTCATTGAAGTTAGCAACGATGTGGTTTATCCTACTACCTTTAATGACAGTAGTGTTAGTACTAATTCTAGTTCTCCTAATGAAATGTATGCTATACCAGTAAGAATCACCACTTGGTGACGCGGCAAGCGTTTTTATGGGACTCGGGGAATCCCAATCGCCCTCCAATCACAACTCGAAAATCACAACTCCTGGAAGGCTTACCTACAATCGGTCAACCAAACTCTGGACCAACTTGGAACCCTAGTATAGGTGAAAACCTACGTACTAACGATAGCATATTCACTAATTTATCTTATAATCCACCGTCACGCAATTCGAATAATTTGATAACTATTCATGTTTGTAAACCAGGACCACCAGAGAGTCGCTCTATTCCTATACGCGAGACGTCACAGATTTCAACTAGCTTTAGACTGTGACGTTAGCTAGAGTCCTATCCATTTATTTTATTATCCATGGTATAAAGTACAAAAATTGTTAGAGAATCTACAGTACAGAATTATATTTATAAGACGATAGAAATAGTTTACACTAAAACTGCTACCGTGTACTAACTAGCTGTTATTTAAAATGATCATGCCTTACGGTTTATTACTACTTTCTGGCTTTCTTTCAAAACGCTTAGAAGGTTGATAAAATTGGGCGAACTTTAAAAATGAAACAGTAACCACGTGTAACTTGATCTTTGTGGAAAAAATTTTTGGGATCACTTTAAGGCTTGGTTACCAAGCACTGAACTATATATGTTGATATGTGCAATGGACCACTGAACGTTACCTTTCCTTTCTCAAAGTATGTAGCTTATAAAGCAATAAAACGCAAGCAGTAACACAATCTAATGGAACAATAGGGCCATTTATATGGGACAAAATAAGACGCGACTTACATAAGACGCGACTTAAATAAGACGCGAGTTTGTCATATAAAAGGTACAAAATTCGCGTCTTGGATAAGACGCGTCTATAAAGAGAACCATTTATGCGATAATTATAAGTAATAGCATGGCTTGAGGGAGATTAGTGATTAAATGGCCCCGTAACCCGAGGCAGGTTTGCGGAATTCCCAAGGGCGAAGCCGAGGGAATTCCGCAAACCTGCCGAGGGTAAGGGGTCATTTAATCACTAATCTCCCGAAAAGCCATGCTATTAGTTTGTAATAGCATAGTTGCGCTCCCATTTAAAAATGGACAAACATG